TTTAATTGCTGCCTTCGGCTGTCTTTAGCCGAGGGGACTATTGTTTTTTTTATATAATAGCTATATTTTCAATTATAGTATATCAATTCTATCTTCTTGTAATATGATGTATGTACATGTAACTGTTCTGTGTCACTGTGTCTTGAAAAACGAGCGGATCGCTCCAAAAAATTGACAACCTAAACTTGTCCACACTGTTGGAATTACTTCTTTGCCCCATATACTGGTACAGGTATATATATACTGATACAGGTATAGATATATAATGATACAGGTATATTTACTGATACAGGTATAAATACACTGATAGAGTTATAGATACACTGATAAAGGTATGGATACACTGATATAGGTATATATACTGATACAGGTATAGATATACTGATACAGGTATAGATATACTGATACAGGTATAGATATACTGATACAGGTATATATACACCGATACAGGTATATATATACTGATATAGGTATAGATACACCGATACAGGTATAGTTACACCGATACAGGTATATATATACTGATACAGGTAAAGATACACTGATAAAGGTATAGATATACTGATACAGGTATATCTACACCGATACAGGTATATATATACTGATATAGGTATAGATACACTGATACAGGTATAGTTACACCGATACAGGTATATATACACCGATACAGGTATAGATACACTGATAAAGGTATAGATATACTGATACAGATATATATACACTGATACAGATATATATACTGATACAGGTATAGATATACTGATACAGGTATATATACTGATACAGGTATATATATACTGATACAGGTATAGATACACTGATATAGGTATAGATACACTGATATAGGTATAGATATACTGATATAGGTATATATATACTGATACAGGTATAGATATACTGATACAGGTATATATACACTGATATAGGTATAGATATACTGATACAGGTATAGATATACTGATACACGTATATATACACACTGATATAGGTATAGATACACTGATATAGGGATAGATATACTGATATAGGTATATATACACCGATACAGGTATATATATACTGATAAAGGTATAAATACACTGATACAGGTATAGGTATACTGATACAGGTATATATACACTGATACAGGTATATATATACTGATATAGGTATAGATACAGGTATATATATACTGATACAGGTATAGCTATACTGATACAGGTATAGATATACTGATAGAGGTATAGATACACTTATACAGGTATAGATATACTGATATAGGTATAGATACACCGATAGAGGTATATACACTGATACAGGTATAGATATACTGATACAGGTATATATACACACTGATATAGGTATAGATACACTGATATAGGTATAGATACACTGATACAGGTATAGTTACACCGATACAGGTATATATATACTGATATAGGTATAGATACACCGATAGAGGCATATATACTGATACAGGTATAGATATACTGATACAGGCATAGATGTACTGATACAGGTATAGATACACTGATACAGGTATAAATACACCGATACAGGTATAAATACACTGATACAGTAATAGATATACTGATACAGGTATATATATACTGATACAGGTATAGATACACTGATACAGGTATAAATACACCGATACAGGTATAAATACACTGATACAGTAATAGATATACTGATACAGGTATATATATATACTGATACAGGTATAGCTATACTGATACAGGTATAGATATACTGATAGAGGTATAGATACACTTATACAGGTATAGATATACTGATATAGGTATAGATACACTGATACAGGTATAGGTATACTGATACAGGAATATATACTGATACAGGTATAGCTATACTGATACAGGTATAGATATACTGATAGAGGTATAGATACACTTATACAGGTATAGATATACTGATATAGGTATAGATAAACTGATACAGGTATATATATACTGATATAGGTCTAGATACACTGGGGCAGGTATAGATACACTGATACAGGTATAGATATACTGATATAGGTATAGATAAACTGATACAGGTATATATATACTGATATAGGTATAAATACACTGATACAGGTATATATATACTGATACAGGTAAAGATACACTGATAAAGGTATAGATATACTGATACAGGTATAGATACACTGATACAGGTATAAATACACCGATACAGGTATAAATACACTGATACAGTAATAGATATACTGATACAGATATATACACCGATACAGGTATATATATACTATACACCGATACAGGTATAGTTACACCGATACAGGTATATATATACTGATATAGGTCTAGATACACTGGGGCAGGTATAGATACACTGATACAGGTATAGATATACTGATACAGGCATAGATGTACTGATACAGGTATAGATACACTGATACAGGTATAAATACACCGATACTGGTATAAATACACTGATACAGTAATAGATATACTGATACAGGTATATATATACTGATACAGGTATAGCTATACTGATACAGGTATAGATATACTGATAGAGGTATAGATACACTTATACAGGTATAGATATACTGATATAGGTATAGATAAACTGATACATGTATATATATACTGATATAGGTATAGATAGATATACTGATATAGGTATATATACACCGACACAGGTATATATATACTGATAAAGGTATAAATACACTGATACAGGTATAGGCATACTGATACAGGTATATATACACTGATACAGGTATATATATACTGATATAGGTATAGATACACCGATAGAGGTATATATACTGATACAGGTATAGATATACTGATATAGGTATAGATATACTCATACAGGTATAGATACACTGATACAGGTATAGATATACTGATACAGGTATATATATACTGATATAGGTATAGATGCACCGATACAGGTATATATGCTGATACAGGTATAGATATACTGATATAGGTATAGATATACTGATACAGGTATTGATATACTGATATAGGTATAGATATACTGATACAGGTATATATACACACTGATATAGGTATAGATACACTGATACAGGTATAGTTACACCGATACAGGTATATATATACTGATATAGGTATAGATACACCGATAGAGGTATATACACTGATACAGGTATAGATATACTGATACAGGTATAGATATACTGAAATAGGTATAGATATACTGATACAGGTATAGATACACTTATACAGGTATAGATATACTGATATAGGTATAGATAAACTGATACAGGTATATATATACTGATATAGGTATAGATATACTGATACAGGTATAGATATTCTGATACATGTATAGATACACTGATATAGGTATATATACACCGCTGATACAGGTATATATATACTGATACAGGTATAGATCCACTGATAAAGGTATAGATATACTGAAACAGGTATATATACTGATACAGGTATGTATATACTGATACAGGTATATATATACTGATATAGGTATAGATATACTGATACAGGTATAGATATACTGATATAAGTATAGATATAGATATACTGATACAGGTATAGATACACTTATACAGGTATAGATATACTGATATAGGTATATATACACCGATACAGGTGTATATATACTGATACAGGTATAGATACACTGATATACCCCCAGATACACTGATACAGGTATATATATACTGATAGAGGTATAGATACACTGATATAGGTATATATACACCGATACAGGTATATATATACTGATATAGGTATAGATATACTGATACAGGTATATATACACACTGATATAGGTATAGATACACTGATACAGGTATAGATATACTGATACAGGTATAGATATACTGAAATAGGTATAGATATACTGATACAGGTATAGATATTCTGATACATGTATAGATACACTGATATAGGTATATATACACCGCTGATACAGGTATATATATACTGATACAGGTATAGATATACTGATATAAGTATAGATATAGATATACTGATACAGGTATAGATACACTTATACAGGTATAGATATACTGATATAGGTATAGATACACCGATAGAGGTATATACACTGATACAGGTATAGATATACTGATATAGGTATATATACACCGATACAGGTGTATATATACTGATACAGGTATAGATACACTGATATAGGTATAGATACACTGATACAGGTATAGATATACTGATACAGGTATAGATATACTGATATAAGTATAGATATAGATATACTGATACAGGTATAGATACACTTATACAGGTATAGATATACTGATATAGGTATAGATACACCGATAGAGGTATATACACTGATACAGGTATAGATATACTGATACAGGTATAGATGTACTGATACAGGTATAGATACACTGATACAGATATATATATACTGATACAGGTATAGATACACTGATATAGGTATATATACACCGATACAGGTATATATATACTGATATAGGTATAGATGCACCGATACAGGTATATATGCTGATACAGGTATAGATATACTGATATAGGTATAGATATACTCATACAGGTATAGATACACTGATACAGGTATAGATATACTGATACAGGTATAGATATACTGAAATAGGTATAGATATACTGATACAGGTATAGATACACTGATACAGGTATAGATACACTGATATAGGTATATATACACCGATACAGGTATAGATACACTGATACAGGTATAGATATACTGATACAGGTATAGATATACTGATACAGGTATATATACTGATACAGGTATAGATATACTGATATAAGTATAGATAAACTGATACAGGTATAGATAAACTGATACAGGTGTAACGAATCCAGGTCTTTTTACACACTGTTATAAATCATTCCCCTTTGTAACATTTCAGATGTATATCATTGACAGCTTGGAGCCTTAGTTTGGATGGCAGTATAAGAATGACTATAGAAGGCTGCAGCGTTCTGTAGCAGCCAGCTTGTTATAGAAGTCAGCAGCGTTGAAGCATTCGTCCTTGTGTTTGGAGAGAACCGTACAGAGAGAATGGATGTTAGTATAGATCAGCAGTATAACTACACTCTGCCATTGCACTGAAGTATGGGGTGCACCTCTGCTAAAACTGTTGCCCCAGAGGAATCCTCAACCAAATCAGAAAAAGGTAAGACAAACTTTCTTCTCAATGAAACTTAAACTTAGCAGTTATATTAAGACTATAAATCGACCAATAAAAGGTAGATTATTAGAAATAATTACAGGTAGGTTGTTTGCTCTGTCTGATTATAAAAATATAAAATCTGAATTTATCCCAATACTGCTATTTTTAAACTGATGTTGAACCTTGTTGGAGCTTTGATATTAAACTAATGTCTACAGAGGATTTAGAGAAGTATATTGTAGTGATGTTAATTAAAAGAAAAATGCTTAAGGATGTATGTTAGCTCCAGAAAACTATATGTCATGAACAGTTAGACATAGTTAATTAATAAAAAGGTTGATGTACATGTGTTATCTATAAATGATAATGATTGCTGTAGATTAAATTGTCATGTATTTATCTCTGTAGAAAAAAGCTGCCAATTAATCTCTTCAAGAAATATGTTTGTCAAGAAAACAATGAATATGTATTATATATTGTTGCAAAATTAGAATGTCACAGCCTATACGGTTAAGATTTATAAAGTTTCTGCTAAATAACTTTTTATATTTTAACCATTTAAAAGTGACTTATTCTTACAAATATTTCAGAGGTTTAGGAACAGATACAGATATTTAAGGGATTCAGGGATAAGATATTATAGAGGCTTATTTAGGAACTCACAGATATGTTCAGATTTGCTATCTTAGGGGTTTAGGAACATGTTAAGACATTTTAGAGTTTCAGGAACGTGGATTGAGAAACATAGATTTTTTTAGGGTTTAATAACACAAATATATTAGGATCTGAATTTTGGGGGTTTGAGGAACCTATACAGATATTTCAGTGGTTTGGGAAGACATCAGATATTTTAGCAGATTAGGAATACAGCCGCATATTTTAGGAGTTTTGAGATATGTACAGATATTTTAGGGTTTTAGGAAACGCATGGATATTTTAGGGGTTTAAGAACACCAAAGAAATGTCCCTATTTCAGAATGAGACTCCTAATTTTTAACCTTAATACAAGTCAACAGAAGGTTATAAATATTTATTCTTGCTCAAATTCAATTAATTCATTGCACAGAACAGCTTAAACTGTAGCATTCTACACTGCTGGTAGTAATTTGTAACAAAAACTATTAAATCAATTTAATTCAAGTGTTGTGATAATTGCCACAGTCTTTTTAGAGAGTAGGAGAACATGTTCAACAATTTGTTTCAACACACTTTTTTGTAACTAACCCAAGGAAAGTTCATAGTCATACATTAAATGAGATTTATCTTGATATTTCATAGAAAAACAATAAAATCAATTTAATGTACAGGTATACACGTAGGTACATTCTAAATATACAAAATCATCACTGAACATTGTACTTGAAAATGTTTTTTATGGATTTTTTTTCTTACAAACAGATGATTGATTGATTTCTTGTACATGTCATCAATGACATGTGGACATGTAATAATAAAACTACATGATTTCTGATGAACATAAATGTTATTGAGTTTATGATACCTTATAACATAAACCACAAGGTGAATAAGTAGTTACATGTCCTTATATAGCTTCAGTTGATTACAAGACAGTCATCTGATAAGATCATGAGCAGTGAGTGCATGTATTACAAAGACATGAGGATAAACTTAGATTAATAAAATCAATTACGTATGTAACTGAGCGAGATTGGGTTATCGATGCTAATGGTATAAGTATATTTTAATGATATCTTAACTGATTATAGCAGAAAAATATATTTTATCAATTTTCATCTGGATATCTAGACAAAATGTATAGATAGGACATGGTTTTGGTCAATACATATTCCATGTTCATTGTATATTAGATTTTTGTTTGTTTAGACTGACTGTTTCTCATTTAGCTGGTCATAATAAGTGGTGTTTGAAAGCATTCGTCACACTTTAGCTGTCTTGGATGCGACTTTGTCAACTGGATACTGTAAATATTTTCATTAAGATATCTACCTAGCTATTTCATGATTGTTGCTCCAATAACATTTTTGTGGGGGTTTGAATCCTCAAAAGGAACATCAGTTATATAATCATGTTCCTTTTCCTTTTCCTTTTGTTCTGAATACAAATTAAAAATGGTGTCAGTAATCTAACTAAAATTGTCAAATACAGCGCACCCTACATTAGCAGAGTGGAGTTATTTCTTTTGTGTTTTTTCCAAGGTTCTGTATTCCTGGATTATCGCTGCTGTTTAATTTCCCCCTTTTTCGCCCTCCGTAATGAGGGCAGATTTATCATTACACCAAACACTGGTAAACAACATAATATGTATAGCAGTTAAATTTAAAGGGGGAAATTAAAAATGGGCGAATATGGATTTTACCGGCGATTGGAGAAAGTTTGACAGAGCGAACATTTCCTGGTAAACAAGATTTGTTTTGCAACTAGAAGAATTAATACAAAGCCTTTTTATGGAAGCAATATAAAGCTAAAAAAGCTCAGTTGGTAGGGATGTTCAATGTTTTCCGGGATATCTTATTCAGTTTGGTGTTGGGCTAGCTGCGAAAGATTGAAAGGTCAAACCCCATGTAATTCCTGTCGGCAGACTGTTGTGGTCTCGTATTACATGACTTTGGTGAAAGGTCAAACCCGTTGTAGTTCCTGTTGGCAGACTGTTGTGGTCTAGTATTACATGACTGTGGTGCTTCAGAAACCTGTCAACACCTGTAGGCGACAATCAACTTTTTGTTTATAGGAAATGTAGGTATATCCCCTGCGTAGCAAATCACTTTTTGGAAGCCTGCTAGAGGCCCTTAACAGGTAGTCTCTTGAACTTAAAAAATCTCCTTTACAGTGATCAGTACAATGACAGATGGTTCTTAACATTTAGAGTCGGCTTGAGATCTCCAATACAGCAATCAGTAGAATATGACAACAGATGATCCAATTATATACAGATACTGTTTATGGGAAATGTACTACATTCTCAAAGTAGGATATAAATTTTTCGAAGCAATTTGGTGGTTCTTAACTCGTAGTGCAGATTTAACATATCTCCAAAACATTAATCAGGAAAATACGACAACAGATTAGCCAACTATAAACAAATATCATTATTTATAGAAAGTATTTTATATGCTCAGTGTAGGAAATACTTTTTTTCGAAGCTAGTTGGTGGTTCTTAACCTGTATTGTCAGATGTAATATCTCCAATTCAGCAATCAATAAAAATAAGGCATCTGATGATTCATATATATTCAGATGTTCTTATAATTCATAGAAAGTTTTTTTACATTCTCCAAGTAGGAAATAATATTTTTGAGACCAACTGGTTGTTCTTAGCCTCCATTCTCAGATTCAAGACATTAATCGGGAAAACATAAGACAACAACAGATGATCTAACTATGTACAAATGTTATTGTTTATACAATGCTTATGACATTCTAAATGAAGAAAATCATTTTTGAAACAAACTGGTAGTTCTTATCCTGTAGTGTCAGATTTTGCATCTCCAATACAGTGATCAGTAGAGGATCCAACGATATACAAATATAATGGTTCTAAAGTGTACGACATTCTTGAAGTAGAAAAATATTTTTTGAAACAAATTGGTGGTTCTTCTCCTGTAGAATCAGATCTAACATCTCCAATACAGTGATCAGTAAAAATAAGACAACAGCAAATGATCCAATTAGATCTAAATCTGTAAACCTATATACGACATTGTGTGACATGGAAACAGAAGGCGTAAATGTCTCCCCAGGAATCTTATTTAGCTTTCGTCGCCAAGTCTCCTGAATTAGCAGGGTTTGTGTAAATAAATAGATTAGTTGGTATTCGATTATTTGAGGGAGGAAGGGAGTGGTACAGAGGAGGGGTGAGGTCCATAGGGGGGAACCTATACTTTTTTCCGTCAATGTCATGCTTTAAATGTTTATAACAGTTAACATACCAGGTTATCATCCAGATCTTTAATTCAGAAAGACATGCTTTTTTGTAGATTTTCCCCCAAATATAACAAGACTTAGAAGTTAATTGGTTAGAACAGAAAACAGCATGAGATTGTCTATACTCTAACTGTAAATGATCACAAGTGTTAGGTACATAACACACAATCAGGATGTATCCAGTCCCACAGACATTAAGTAGGTAATGGTCAGGGGTTCTTGTCACCACAGATTGTCCTACTTTCAGATGTTTGATTCTACTCTAATCTTGGATAAGATATTGAGAAATTGTAATTTGTAATTTCAACTACCAGGGGTGTGGGCTATGTTTCCTATATTTCAATATTGAGTTTCCTCTGATCATAAGTCGTAATTATGGTCTAGTAATTATACCTTTAAATGCTGTTGATTATATTCTTATTCATTTAATGATGACAACCTACAGAGTCAGAGCCCTCCTATACGTCACCTCGACAGCACCCTTACCTACAGAGCCCTGCTATACATCACCTCAACATTACCCTTACCTACAGAGCCCTCCTATACATCATCTCGACAGCACCCATACCTACAGAGCCCTCCTATACGTCACCTCGACACCACCCTTACCTTCAGAGCCCTCCTATACGTCACCTCGACAGCACCCGTACCTACAGAGCCCTGCTATACATCACCTCAACATCACCCTTACCTACAGAGCCCTCCTATACATCCCCTCGCCAGCACCCTTAATTACAGAGCCCTCCTATACGTCACCTCGACAGCTATCTTACCTACAGAGCCCTCCTATACGTCATCTCGACAGCACCCATACATTATATTCTTATTCATTTAATGATGACAACCTACAGAGTCAGAGCCCTCCTATACGTCCCCTCGACAGCACCCTTACCTACATAGCCCTCCTATACGTCCCCTCGACAGCACCCTTACCTACAGAGCCCCCCTATACGTCACCTCGACAGCTAGCTTACCTACAGAGCCCTCCTATACGTCACCGCGACAGCACCCATACCTACAGAGCCCTCCTATCCGTCACCTCGCCAGCACCCTTACCTACAGAGCCCTCCTATCCGTCACCTCGCCAGCACCCTTACCTA